AACCCAACCCAACCCGATGAACCCGATATCCTTTTATTTCTTGGATTTAATATGATTGTTGAATTTCTATTAATATATACATTAGACAATTACACTATCATGTATGTTTTTCATATACATATATTTTCAATCTATTCACATCTCTATATAACTCATTCATATATATGTTCAGTAACAGTGAACATATATATGTAAATTAAGAAAATCAATTGAATATGATATACGTAAGAAATATAGATAAGTTGTATTAAATGGTTGCTAATAAAAAAGAAATTATAAGTAGAGAAATAACATATTCAAGGTTAGAATAATATTTTAATATACCAAAGTATCAACCCGACCAACCCAATTAACCCGACCAACCCATACGGGGTTGGGTTGGGTTGGGTTGGGTTGCACTTTGGTTTGAGTTGGGTTGGGTTAAGATTTTTCTAAACTGCAAGCATTGGGTTGGGTTGGGTTGTTCAAATGTCTTTAACCCGATTAACCCAACCCATGAACACCCCTATCCTTCTAGTGTGTATATATATATATATATATATATATATATATATAAAGTAGCCACCTTTTTGTTTTTTTCTTTTGACCAATTATTTATTTATCTTGAAGAAAAGAGGGAGCATCTAATTGAAGTGTATATAGGGAGAGAAGGTTCAAACGAGAACACCTTCATTTTACGAGAACGCGAGAACATTTTTTTACTATAGACAATCACATGTAATACTACTATTCCATCACATATGATACACATGTGATATTAAATCAGAGACGTGAACGATTTTCAATGCGATCTTGATTGCGGGCCAAGTCGCCCTTACACCACTAAGCCCCTCACAAGTATTATCACATATGATTAGGGTGTTGTTGATATGATACTATAATCCATCAAGATTATCACATGTGATGCTAAATCATAGACGCAAACAACCTTTGACGTAGCCTAAGTCATAGAACACGTCGTCCACACCGTGAGGTCCAATCTTAACCAAAAATCAATAGATAAATTAGAAAATTTATAATTTTGGTAATTTTGAATTAAAATTTTAATGCAAGGACATTTTAGTTATTTTAAAACTCTCCTCTCTTCTCTCTCTGTCCCCCGTCCTCCGGCCACCGTCCCCCGTCCTCCGGCCACCGTCCTCCGTCCTCCGGTGATATTACAATGGTATCAAAATGCATCATATATGTGTTTGGGTATCACACGGAGGTCATTTGTGTGGTCGATCGGAGATATAACACAATGGTACCCCAATTGGTACTACATTGGGTATCACATTGCATCTTGTATGTATTTTGGGTATCACAACGTGGATGATCGGTATGTATTCCTTAAGTTTAGATTATGGATTTGATTTTGTTTTTAAGGTTTGAGTTGGTATCACAATGGTATCACATTGTGTATCACAATGATTACTTGGTACCGGTCGGAATAATGTTCATCGGAGGTTGGAGATCCGAGGTCGAAGAGAGGTGAGAGGAGTTCTTAGAAATATCTAAAATGCCATCTAATTATAATTTTAACTCAAATTACCAAGATTACTAATTTCCTAATTTATCCGTTGATATGTGGTTGAGATTGGATCTCACAGTTACAACAAACTAATCAGTTCTCCCTTGAATAGACCCCTATATATATATATATCTATATATATATATATCTATATCTATAGGGTCAAGTTCAAATGTTAACCAAAGTTTTTGTGTTAACTTTGTTAACCGATCTTGGTCATCCAATTTTTCAATAAACGGTTGTGATTAAGCATGATAAAAACTTATTTTTTTTAAATTTAAAATTTCATAAAGATAAGTGAACAAAGTATTTAGGTAAAAAAAAATTATGTAACTCTCATATCATTAATTAATTGGGAGTTACAAAATAAAAAATTCTATGATTTTTTTGTTAATTTATTTTTTGTTAATGTAAGAACCATATGAACACAACTATAAATATATGAACCATTGTGTCAAATACGAACAAAAATTTGACATATATATGAACTTGGACTGCATAGCATTTATGAACACAATATGAACATAATAAGAATAACTGCTACACGAAAGAAAAAAAAACAGGTATGAACACGATATGAACAGCTTGTGAACAATAGTTTCTTCATTATAAACACATTCAGAAGCGATCCTTTGTCAATTGGAGTTTTATACATGTATTGCATCCACACCGTTTAAGGTTCACCCCTTGTTCATATCGTGTTCACCTCTTGTTCATATCGTGTTCACCCTTGTTCATATCGTATAAAATATATGAACACATAATCTCAACGCTATGAACACCGGGTGCAAACACTTACACAAATATAAAGATTTGGTATCAAGCTTAAAAAATAACACTTGTGTTCATATGATAGAAGTAACATGAACACAACGGTTCATGATTCATAAAAGTCGGTAATATGACAATACGGAAATGGGTCGTGCATGTACTTCCATTTGAACATGTGAATTAGGTACGTACTTTAATAATTAAAGAAAAAAGCTATCAATACAAGATGAATTATAAAAAACACAACACATCGTAATGAACATAATTTCGATTAAAACGAATCTAAAAAAATAAAAAATATATTACCAAGACATTCGCTTTGGTTAATTTTTTCAATTCTCAACCTTGAACTCTAATTGTCATCATAAACCATTTTAATCTTCTCACTGTTGTCGATTATTTTCCATTGCGTTTATCCATATTAGCTTGATCGATACCAAAAAATTTTATTACCGTGTTTTCTAAGCGAATTAAATACTGATAAAACAATGAACATTGAATATCAATATTAAAAAAAATTAATATTATAAATGTATATTTTTTGGGATTTGATGATTTGTAACTCCCTATTAATTATTTGGGAGTTACATATCAAATCAATTTACTGAAATACCATTGTAATTAAAATGTGAACATGACATAAACCTACAAGAAGAATGAAATTTGATTGATTGTCATGGTTTTCAAAGTTAACACAAAATTGTTGGTTAACATTTGATCTTCCCCCTCTCTCTCTATATATATATATATATATGTATATGCCACGGGTTTTGGAGAAGAAGCAACATACACAATTTATTCTTTTCTTCAAAGATATATACTTATTGATTCTTTGAATTTCGAGCAAGTAAAATAGGGTGCAAATATATTTCGGTTTTCTTAAGTGCGCAAGAGATCTGAGACAATTTTACCGGGGTTGTTTTGTCCTGTGTATGGTGTGGTTGATAATCCGCTTACACAAATCTGAGCAGCGTCGCGAACGTCTTAAAAAGGGAGACCTAGTCTGAGACTCAACCCAGACATCATTCGGTAAATTCATTTTAATTTTGGAGTGAATTGTGGATTTTGTTCATGTATTTTGATATATTTTTTTCCTGTTAACTCTGTTAAATCAAGAATCATTTTAGCCTTTTTCCCCTCTTTTTCTATAAAAAAGTAAAAACAATATTTTTATATATACAGAAAAATACACACACACACACACACACATATATATATATACACGTGTGTGTATGTATATACATAACCATATAAAATAAATAAAATAAAATATTATTGTATAATTTGATTTGATTAAATTAAAAAAAAATCATATTAGATACAATTTAATTATATTGTTTTATTATAATTATGGAAAAATATATGATTTTATTGTGTTAATGTAATTAAAGTGTTAACTTAAACAAATCAAATTATAAAATCATATTTTATTTTATTTAGAACGAGTAAAACAAGATATAATTTTATTATTCATTTAAAATTTTAATTATATTAAAGACAACTTAATTTTGGGAAAAATTAGAAAAACCCAATAAACTATTATATTTTGAATGATTTAACTTTCATCAATTATTCTTTAAACGAAAAAACTATTAAACTTTTTCATTTTAAATGATTAAGTCCCTGGATGTTTTTTTGCATTAAAAACCATTTAATTTTCCTATTTTGAATAATTAAATCTCTGAACATTTTTTTACAGTAAATTAAAGCATCGAACTTTTTAAAAAATTGGTTACTTACATACTTTAAACTAAAAAAAACTACCTATAATCACTTATCTTTTGATTCTATTTCTATTGATGGATAAAAAATACATCAAAAAGAGGAAGATCGATGACAAGACCAACATCGTCTTAAACAATAATGGTGAACAAACGATGTTGGGAGCAACGGAGGCAGCGAGATGTTTTAATGGTTTAATATTTGAAAATGATAAAACTAATTTAAGTTTGTTTTGTACTTTAAAAGTTTCCTAGTCAGTTAAAGGTAGTTTAAAAAACGATTATAACAGCTTTTAAGAAGTTTGATGATTTATTTATTCAAAACAAATGTTTAGGGACTTAATTATTCAAAATGAGAAAGTTTAATGGTTTTTTCATTCAAAAAAATAGTTTTACACCTTAATCATTTAAAATGAGAAAGTTTAATGATTTTCAATTCAAAAAATTAATTTAGAGACTTAATCATTCAAAATGAGATAGTTCGTTTGGTCTCTCTAAACTTTTTACTTTAATTTTGTTGTTATTTTTTTTTATCATTGCAATGAACAAGCTTATTATCGATATTTTAACATCAAAATCATTAAGAAATGAACTCCAATTTTATAAGAAAAAGACAAAACAAAAAGACTAAAATGACCTTTAATTTAACGAGTCCTCGATTAATCAAAAGTAGCGTGACCAGAAGGAATAAACGTACCATTAGAGGGTGTTTGAGATTGTTTATTTGAAACAACTTATGCTTTTCTACAAAAGTTATTATCAACTTATTATAAGTTGAATGGTTTAACTTCTTTAAAAACTACTTATTACCAATTTAACACCGATATAAATTATTTATCAAACAGTCAAAAATATTTATTATCAATAATACATCTAAGTTATATTTTTAAGTACCAAACGCTACTCATAACTCTAATTCACTCTTGATTTTATTTTGACTCAACATACTCTATATGAAAGAATAAAATAGTGCGAAGAACGTTGAAGTCGGTCCATAGATGGAATCTACTCCTAATAGCGAAAGGTCTGTGGAGATGGTCGATTCTTCTGCACGAATAGAAGATCTCAAGTACCTGTCTGCATCGAATGTTAATGTCTCCAACTTTGTTTCTGTCAAGCTTTCCGGCGAATCTAATTACGGTGTCTGGAAGTCGCAGATGCTTTGCCTCATGGAGACTCGGAAAATGCGTGGAATTGTGGATCCCAAATTTGATGGTCCGGATGCTACGGACGTCGAGACCTTGAAACAATACGACAGCCTTCTCAAAGGTTGGATTTTCGGTTCAGTTAGCGAACACGTACTCAGGACTGTCGTAAATCTCGGATCTGCAATTGCTGTTTGGAAGAAACTGCAATTAGTCTTTGATCACGATGATAGCTTTCCACAAGGTACAGAAATTAACCGTTTTCTTTCCAACATTAAGCACCAATTTCCCACAGCAGAAACTAACCGTTGAATTGAAATTTTGATATGAGATGCAGATTCAGATTTACTGGAACAGTTCACGCTAACAGAAATATCAACAGTTACACAAGCAGAAAACATAGACGATATTCAGTTGCGTAAAGCTACAGTGGAAGGGCGGTGGTGGAGAGCAGAAGCCATATTGAAAAATGCTAAAATGGCAGCAACAGAGGCCATCAGCAACGATGGCAACACGATGCTTCACTTAGCGGTTGAATTAGGGCAGAACGATTTCGTCAAGAAGTTGCTGGACTTCATTGACGATGGAAACGAAATCGAGAAGCAAAATTTAGATGGGCGCACAGCGCTTCACATTGCTGCAATTGTTGGCAACACATATGCAGCGGAACTCTTGGTTAAGAAAAGGAAAGAATTGTTGGGAATTTCGGACCATAAAACACACGTACCGTTGCTCAGTGCTTATTACAATATGCAACTCAATACATTCATATATTTGTTGGAAGCCACCGAAATCAAGCACTGTGTTCATTCACGCCTTCATCCTGGTGTAAATCTTCTCATTACTGCTATTTTCACGAAACAATACGGTGAGTAGTTGGTATATCATATGATCCATCGATGAACTAACTAAAGATTCACATTTTCTCATATTCTTGCAGATTTAGCATCGAAGTTGGCCAAAGTATATCCTGAATTAGCGACGAATGATGATCAAGTATTGATGGCTATGGTTAAAACCTTTCCAAGTGAGCTTGGCTTCAGGGAAGCATTGATCTATCCATGTATATCTCAATTTTTTGAAATTTTATTGCTATAAAAACCTGAAGATACATTTAGACACATGCATTCCTCCATTGTTGGTGATACAACCATGTATATCTTGCAGCTTCGAACAAAGTCCAGCGAGAAATAGTCAAGACTAGTTCTTCACTGTTTTATTCGTACGAATTTTCGTTTGCAAGGGCTAAAGACATCTTATGGGAGATAAGAAGGTTTAAAAGCACCTATCACAGCTGGTATTTTCCAGAAATCGGTATGATATTACTTGGTGAGTTTCTGATAATTAACCACAAATGCAATTCAGAGATCAGTCAATATACTTGAAACTAGTTCTAATAATCTTTCTATTTCCTGTGCAATTCCAGCAGCCATGTTTTATCCAATTTATCAAATGATTCGTCTCCTCGTTTTGGTGCTTTTGTACCCCTTCTTTGTGCTGTATTTCCTCCTATGGAAGCTTTTAGCAAACATAGGTTAGTGATTACAGTGTTCATCATATCTGCTCACGAACTGATCGTATTTGACTTTTGAGATGGGAACTTGAGAAAATTTCCATTACTGGTAGGATGATCGTGTTTCACCTTCTATTGTCTAAATTGCAGTGCCACCAATTAAGCGTATAGAAACGAAGAAAAAAGACTACGAAGAAGCTAATTTTTTATTGAACTTGGTATGTGATGAAATCGACAAGTTGAACTTCTCTGGTAGATGTTACAGGAGACCGATTATTGAGGCTGCATGTCATGGTGTCTATGAGGTTGTTGATGAAATTTTATTCAGGTCACCTAAAGCAATTGGCTTTACAAACAGAAACGGGCATAACATTATTCAGTTAGCAATCATAAATCGTTCAGAAAAAATCTACAACCTTATCCGTCACACCATTAAACGTAAGGATTTTTATAGAAAAATAATGGATTCTTCTAAGAACAATATCTTACACTTGGCTGGAAGATTGGCACCTTCATTCGTACTCAGTCGTACCACAGGTGCAGCACTACAACTACAACGAGAGCTGCAATGGCGTAAGGTACATCCAGTATGAAGTTATAAATTGTGATCTTTTTGGTTCTCTAGTTGGATAAAGTAGAACTAGTTTAATTATACAGGAAGTGGAGAAGCTTATGTTGCCTACAGACCTTATAAAAGAGAATATAGACATGGAGACACCAGAAATGGTGTTCACCAGAGAACACGATCATTTGGTGAAGGAAGGCGAAAAATGGATGAAAACGACAGCAGAATCATGCAGCATCACTGCTGCGCTAATCACCACAATCGTATTTGCAGCAGCAATTACAGTACCAGGTGGAAGCAATCAAGAAACAGGCATCCCCTTGTTCAGGAAAGAAATCGCCTTCACTATTTTCGCAGTATCAGATGCAATCTCGCTGTTTGCATCTTCCACTGCTCTACTAGTGTTCTTATCCATCCTCACTACACGTTTTTCCGAGCAAGATTTTCTCGTCAGTTTGCCAAGACGGTTGATTATTGGTTTTTTCGTATTATTCCTCTCTACAAGTGCAATGATGGTAGCCTTTTGTGCAGTCTTGTTCCTTGTGTTTTGTGATCAAAGAGCGTGGATGGTGGCACCGATAGGTGTATTAGCCTGCTTGCCGATTACAGCAGTTGTTACTCTACAATTCCCCCTTGTGGTAGAATTGTTTCTATCAACATATTTCTCCTTTGGTAAGCAAAATTACATCGACCGTTGTAAATCAAATCTGAACAACATGCAATCTTTCTTTGATAGACTCGGAATCGAACACGAGTCGTGATGACCTGCTGTGTATATATGCAATTTGAAGTTCAATAGTGTAGTGTGTAACTTAAGAACATGTGATCTTCTTAAAATACACCAGCCCCCATATGGTCTTCTTTCCGGGTGGTCGTGTGATCCATTTGGTAGTTCAATTACCTTCAAATTCCCGTTACTCGATTTAGATCCTTAACTTTCCGACTGTACGTTGATGGTTCCGACCGATGCATGATTCGTAGAGGCGTGATTTTCATATTTTGGGTTATTACAAGAAGAAATGTGCAAAGCTTTATTTTCTGAAATATTCTTCTTTTAGATTTACACATCATTTGGTTAGCAATCTTATAAGATGCAATGAGCTTTTTACTGTGTGTTTAATGTCTCTATATATTACCGGGAAAGAGACGTTTACTAGGGGCGGATTGGGGGCATCACAACCATGGGGGAGGGAAACTAATCTATACTACCTTATAAATCAGATTTATCAAAAGTCTTAAAAACAATTTTTAATAAGGAAAATTGCACCAAAATGGAACCAATTTTCACTTGATTCCTATTTTGAGGAACCAACTTTCAAAATCATCATTTTGGGGAACCAACTTTCACCTGATTCTTATTTTGGGGAACCAACTTGCAAAATAATTATAGAAAAAATAACTAAAATTCGTTTTTTTTCCAAAAATTAATGCAATAAAATCTATTTTTCATTTCAAATCTCGTTTTTTTAATTCAGATATTAAATTGAAGATTTTTTTTGAAAAAAATCCAAATTACCACGATAAAAATTATTTTTTACTAATGCAATAAAAAAACCAATTTAATGGAAAAAAATTAATTGATGCAATAAAAAATAAATATTAAATATCACATTCAAGATTTTTATATCTAACCAATATGTGTCAATATTAAAGTTTAAATCAAATTTGGCAAATCCAATCAAAAGTTTGATAGAGACCCTTAAATTACCTGTTACATGTTCAACAGATCAACCAGACCCTTAAATAAACAAAAAGTTTGTTAGAGACCCCTAAATGAAGATTTTAAAAGTTGGTTTCCTAAAATAGGAATCAGGTGAAAGTTGGTTCCATTTCCCATTTTTCTATAATTATTTTGCAAGTTGGTTCCCCAAAATAGGAATCAGGTGAAAGTTGGTTCCCCAAAATGACAATTTTGAAAGTTGGTTTCTCAAAATAGGAATCAGGTGAAAGTTGGTTCCATTTTCGTGTAATTTCTCATTTTTAATGCACAAAGTATTATACATTTATGTACAAAGTCTTAAAAGTCTTAATGACAACTCATAATGCATTAAGTACTACTATTTTATGCATTCAAACTTAGAATATCTTAATCTACAATTAAAATAACATATAGTACAAGTTACGAATGCACATTATTAATTTTTTTTCATGTTCCTAAGATACTTTTGATACATTTCACTCATGCCTTCACCCTCTCACACCTCTATGTCTTCTCCTCATCCCCCAAGGTGAGATTCAAATTGATATTCACCATGAGTTATTAAAAGTTCTTCCATTCACCTCTCATTTAATTGGTCTAGAACTCTTCATCTCGCTCTCGATCTCTTGATTCTTTACTCTTGGTGTAAATCAAACACATTTGTGGAGTCGTTTAAATATGTTGAATTTTAAACTGTCATACAATGTTTTTCATCGATAGACTGTAATTAGAACCATAACTCTTATTTATTCAAATTGTATTAATATATAAAGACCAAGTGTAACTTATGTCATCGTTAAATCTTCTCTAATAAAACCAGTAAAACTTCAAAATCGTTAAAATTCACAGCTCCCGCCGCATTGTGCGGGTACACAACTAGTCTTTTATACAAATGGTTTAATTAATGTTTGTATATGTAGCGGTTTAATCATCATTTGAGAACTTCAAACTATATGAGATCCATAAGATTTATTTTAAATCACTGATTTAAATATCTCGAGTTAACGACTGATAGCTAACTGAGTTAGTCACAGGGACGAAAAACAAAAGGAATACAAACCACAAGGACGATGAACACAATTTCAAAAGTTCAGGGATGAAATCACAACTTTTGACAAACCATGGGGTGAAAATCGTATTTTACTCTTAAAACACATTATATAAAAAATGATCTTTTTCTTTTTAATTCGACATTCATATTGTTATATATAAAACTTCATGTGAAGGTCCAATGTACGTAAAAGAATCACGTTTGAACTTTGGCTTGCATATGTAGAACTTCAAATCCAACGGGAAATAACTTAACCCGAAGCAACCCAATGTGTAATCGAGTTGTAAAGTTTTTAAATCGTAGATATTGTGTTGATATTGAGTTACTATTATTTGAACCCAACTCAACGCGATGAACCCGATATCCATTTATTTCTTGGATTTAATATGATTGTTGAATTTCTATTAATATATACACTAGACAATTACAGTATCACGTATGCTATTCATATACACATATTTTCAATTTATTCACATCTATATATAACTCATTCGTATATATGTTCAGTAACTGTTAACATATATACGTAAATTGAGAAAACTAACTGAATGTGATATACGTAAGAAATATGAATAAGTTATATCAAATGGTTGATAATTGAAAAAAAAATATGAGTAGAGAAATAACATATTCAAGGTTAGAAGAATATTTTAATATACCAAAGTATCAACCTGACCAACCCGTACGGTTTGGGTTGACTTGGGTTGCACTTTCGTTTGGGTTGAGTTGGATTAAGATTTTTCAAACCGCAAGCATTGAATTGAGTTGGGTTGTTCAAATATTTTCAACCCGATCAACCCAACCCATGAGCACCCTTAATAAGTACCATACATGTAATTCACTCTAAATAAAGTAATTAGCAAAACAATTTAATAATAAGATTAAGATATTTTATTTAGTTTATAATTTCATAGAAATTTTCTTAGAAATTAATAAAATAGAATTATGTTTAAATAAAAAATAACAATAGACATTTAACAAAATCAAGTTGAAGTTTATAGAAGTTATTGCCTAAAAAGGTGTTTAAATAAGTGATAATAAATTACTTTATAGTTACAGACCAAAATTTTATTTTTCTATTTAAAATTATTGTAATAAATTTATAAGACGTTTTTGAGAATTTTAACAATTTTTTTAAAAGACTTTTAAAACATACAAATGTTTGGTGTATAAACTTAAGTCGTATAAAATATCTGATGTCTTATAAACCCGATTCTATTATAGTGTCAATACAGTTAAGAATTGCATTGTTTCCACCGATCACCGAGCATTAACCTAGTACCACCAATAACTACAACAATACTTCATAGCTTCACAAGCTCATGCCAACACCCTTCGACCCACAATGGCTTGCCCCATCTACCACTTTCTATACTCATGTTCTTAGTTAAGGGGACGTTTACCAAACGCTTACTCAGGTAAGTGAATACCAAGTCACATTACCTTACCAGATGAATGTAGTAATGATCAAAAATCTAATCCGGTAAGAACGAAACAAAGACCAAGAGTCTTACCCGTTAAATGAGGGCGACGATTCTTACCACGGTAAGAGCGATACAAAGACCAATAGTCATACCCGTTAAGTGAGGGCAACGACTCTTACTATGGTAAGCGCTAACCGGGTAAATTGTTGCATAAGATATCATTTTAGTGGACTAAAATCTTATCTGGTGAATAATGATAATGTTAAATTTTACCCGTAAACACTTACCTAATAAGTGTTTAGTAAACGACCCCTAATTATTGCGTCCTCTCCGACGGATATCAAAATCATTAAAAAGAGTTGACCATTAAAAATGTATAACTCATAGTCTAGTAATTAAAATAATTTTTGTTCCTCAGTTATTGGATCTTGGGTCCTTGAACCATGGTTCATGCACATGTTTTTTCAAAATTTTCATGTTCAAATTAGGTAGAAAACTAAGGTGCCGTTTATCAAATATAAATTCGGTAAGTGTTTATCGGTAAAATTTAACATTATTATGTACTTACCAGATAAGATTTTAGCCCACCAAAACGACATAATATACAATAATTTACCCGGTAAGCACTTACCGTGGTAAGAGTCGTCGACCTCGCTTACCGGGTAAGACTCTTGATCATTGTCTCGCTCTTACCGGGTAAGATTTTTGGTCCTTACTATATTCATCCGGTGAGGTAATGTTACTTGATAAACGCTTACCCAGATAAGCGTTTGGTAAACGGCCCCTAAGATATATACCTATCTATACTATCTTATTAAGCAAATTTAACAAAAGTCTTAAAGTCTTAAAATTCTAAATGACCAAAATACCATTTATACTCATTTTTTCACCCCCTCCTCTCCTCACATACACACACCCTCCCACATACATTCATTCTCTCACAACCGATTTTTTTTAAATTATAATTTTTAATTTACACTTTATACCCCTATAATTAATTAATTAATTTACTTTATGTCTTTTACTTTTAAATGTTTCATTTTAAACCTTTATCAAATTAACATACATAATCATATATCAATTAAAACATGTTTAAAAAATACATTTTTATTTTAACAAGTTACACCATTATAATCGTCTCGTTAATATATTCGAAATAAGTCCAATATTGAATAGTTTTTGACTTAATTATATTATTATATATTATATATACTGTGAAAAAATATTTTTAATATTTACGATTTATACTTTTATAGTTATTTATTTATATATATACTATATATTTTGGGGTTAAGCTATCCAAATTGCACTGTATAATATGTTTTGAGTTAATATGTTCTTGGGTTTTTTTTGAAATATATATATACATGTATTAATTCAATCTTAATCTGAGTTTTTGGACAAGAAAGAGGGTAAACAGTTGAAATTTTATTCTAAAACCCATCTTTTTTTGTCTTTTCATGGCATATGATTTGTCAAATTTGTAGTTTTCTTTATTGATTTTGAGTGTTTATCTTAAAACTCAAGTTTCTTGGTTCTTTACTCTTGGTGTAAATCAAACACATTTGTCGAGTCGTTTAAATATGTTGAATTTTAAATATATTGGATTTTAAATTGTGATACAATTTTTTTCATCAATAGTCTGTAATTGGAACCATAACTCTTATTTATTCAAATTGTATTAATATGTAAAGACCATGTATAACCTATATCATCGTTAAATCTTATCTTATAAAACTAGTGGAACTTCAAAATCGTAAAAATTCATGGCTCCCGCCACATTGCGCGGGTACACAACTAGTGATATATTATTAAGAGCTTAATTAATTAACCATGATACAACTTTAGACTTAATAAAAGATCTCGAATCCAACTTCCTTATTAAGCTGTTAAGAAAACAGATAAGAACCAACGACAAGGGTGGTGCTCGATTGGGTTAAGCTTCGACTCTAAAAGTCAAAAGTGACTGGTGCTCCCAGGTTCGAATCCAAGTAGAAATAAAAATTCCCTTGTGGCCACGAAAGTTTGAATCCAATTCTATATGTATGCTTCTTCCTGTCGTGCAGTCCCCACCCCCCAATATCTGCTCCAGACCACATCCTGTACATTAGCTACTCCAGCAGGTAACCATCCTTCATTGCCCATTCTGGATGAATGTTGTCGCATGTTTTTCGGATTTGATTTACAACGGTCGATGTAACTTTGCTTACCGAAGATGGGGCGATATGTTGATAGGATCAAGTCGACCACGAGGGGGAACTGTAGGGTAACGATAACTGCAATCGGCAAGCCGGCTAATACAGCTATTGGTGCCACCATCCATGCTCTTTGATCACAAAACACAAGGAAAAGTATTGCACTAAAGGCAACCATCATTGCACTTGTACAGAAGAATAACGAGCAAAGACCGATGATCAACCGTCTTGGCAAACTGACAAGAAAATCTTGCTCCGAGAAACGTGCAGTGAGGATCGATAAGAACACTAGCAGTGCAGTAGAAGACGTAAACAGTGAGATCGCGTCTGCTACTGCAAAGATAGTGAAGGCAATGTCATTCCTAAACAAGGGGATACCCGTTTCTTGATTGCTTCCACCTGGCACGGTGATTGCTGCTGCAAATACGATTGTGGTGATTAGTGCAGCAGTAATGCTGCATGATTCTGCTGTCGTTTTCATCCACTTTTCTCCTTCCTTCATCAAATCCTTGTGTTCCCTAGTGAACACCATTTCGGGTGTCTCCTTATGGATGTTCTCTTTCATAAGCTCCGTAGGAGACATGAACTTCTCCACTTCCTATAGAATTCAACCACTTGTACTTTATGTTAGAAATAAGTTAGAGATATGACAGTTACAATTATGGTAGTTTTTTGTCTGACAGTTATTTTTAACAGGTACATCGTTTGGTGAAAGGTTGTGTCGGTTCATTATGTATATATATATGTTGGATAATACCCATTGTACATTCGGAGTAGTTGGTGTTAATAAGAAAATACTGTTATAGCAAACTCCCTTTTTATGCATGTGCA